CAAAAAGTAAGTACATGATAGGTGCAGTATATGAAATGAGAATTTAATTTATAAGGTTACAACAGAAACAAAATGAAATGTTTTTTAAATTTAAAATTAACCTTCTCTCACCGCAGAGTAGAAAGTACTTTTCATCCCCACACTCACTTTAGTATCACTATGGTTGACCCAAATGCCATTGATTTTTTTTGTAAACAGAAGGGGGAGAAGTCCACGGACAGTTCCAACGTCATCAGATGTTCCTCCTCAAGATCATCCAAAATACATCGTGTTTGAGGGGGAGCTCTTGAAACTTTTTAAGAAGTGTTTTAAGTGCGGCTCGAGGAAGGTCAGTCTGACCAAACGAACTGTGGGGACTTTCCTTTCAGTGTTTCAGCGATGTGGGGCCTGCAAATCCAAGGAGACAACATGGAGTTCCCAGCCTTGGCTAGGTGCAACACCTGCAGGAAATCTTCTTCTATCTGCAGCTGTCCTGTTTGCTGGTGCCAGCCCATCACAGGCTCTCCGCATGCTAACCAGTATGGGGGTAGCTTGTATTTCGCTGCGCACTTTTTTTTCCCACCAGAAGATACACCTCTTGCCATCAGTTGAAGCGGTGTGGGCGCAACACATCACTGAAGTAAAGCTTCGTTTGAAAGCGGATAATCAAGAACTTGTCATCGGCGGGGATGGACGAGCAGATAGTCCGGGCCACTCCGCAAAATATGGGAGCTACACTGCCATAGAACTCAACGCCAACAAGATTGTTGATATACAGCTTGTACAGGTGAGTCTTTGTTCCTAAAGACATTTAGACTTTATGTACATACGGTGGTTTTCAGCAAATGGTTCTTGACAATTTGTACAAGCAAAAGGATGCAGTCATTTCATTAACTTTATTCTGTATAAATAGTCAATTTAATAGTTGCTTATTTCAATTTGCTGCTGTGGCTGCGCCTTGATTGATTGCCTCAGATTGAATGTTTGTTACTAATATTCGGTACATGTATTTGTTACGTATTCATTTATTAGTGCAATGAAGTCAAGAGTAGCTACCACATGGAGCTTGAGGGCTTCAAAAGGACAATGGCAACCATACGTGAAGCTGACCTCACTGTCACCAAGCTCATCACTGACCGTCATCGCTCTTTGGCCAAATATGTGCGGGAACATGAGCCAACAATTCTGCACATGTATGACGTCTGGCATATAGCAAAAGGTACCGGTAGTTGCAGCTATAGATTTAAAGTTATATCCCACCATCAATATTCGTTTTTATGACCTTCGAAACCATTTGTCGAGACTACAGGATTTCAACTGATTTCCTGAGAAATACATACAAAATAATTATGGCAAGAAATTGTTTGAAAGGCCCAAAGTATCTTTGCATAGTTTCAGATACAATTTTCTGTTACAACAATTTTCCTTTTTGCAAAAAAAGTGATGTCTGTCACTTGGCCAACAAGCGTGGGCCCTGACATGTTTAATCTTATTTTGTATCATTTATTTCTTTATTTTAATTCAGGGATCAAGAAGAAGGTCGATAAATTAGCCAAGAAGAAAGGGTTTGAGGGTGTGGCCGAATGGAAGAGGTCCATAAACAATCATGTTTATTGGTGTGCCTCTTCCACCACTGATGCAGAGGAGGATCTCCGGGAGGCCAAGTGGGCCTCTTTATGTAACCACATCGTTGGAGTACACCGAGGGCACTCTGCTCTATATCCTAAGTGTGACCACGGCCGACTTGGGAGGCGAAAGAAGAAATGGTTGAAGCCAGGTATTAAAAAAGAATTTACTTTCAGGCTTTCCCTTATGGTTCTTTAATGTAGGAGTCATGAAGACTAATTGAAACAAAATGATCTTAACAAATCAGGTTTATGGCTTTGTAGGGACCGAGGAAACTACCCAGCTGTACCAAATTCTGGAGAGTACCTCATTGCTGAAAGACATTCGGAAAATGTCTTCCACAGCGCAGACGTCCTCCCTGGAGAGCTTCCACAGCCTGATAAACCAATTTGCTCCCAAGATGAAGGCCTACTCGTATGATGGTATGACTTGCAGGTCAGTAGAATTAAGGTGTTACTTCAATTATTTACTTAGTGCAAATGTTTTTGTGCATTCTGCTTCTCATGGAACTTTATCCAACTTAACAAATCTTTTGCCATCCCTTTAATTACCATTAATACTGCCAGTCCATATTTACTTGTATAAATTTTTACTTTTGTTGAAAATCCTACAATTGTTGTATTTGTTAGGCTTCACATTGCTGGCCTTCATTACAATGAGAATAGCGACAGAAACCAGGCTGTCACATCCAAGGGCACTCAGATGTTTCACCTCAGCAAGCCAAAGTTTAAGCCGGGGGAAGCTACAGTGAAACCAATCAAAGAAGCAGCTTCTTTTGGTAGGGGTCTTGATATTTTAATTTGTCAAGTTTTTCACAAAACCCATGCTTTGTAGATTGTAAATTTTCACCTAAAATCTACTTTTTTACAGAAGTGCATGTATGCTTTCGACAACATGTTCCTTGCTTTCGAAAAAGAATTCAGATGAGTTAGACTGTAGATTTAAAAACTTATCTTTCAACAGTTTGTGCTCACGACTGTTTTACATTTTTCAGGAAATACAGCTTTTTATTTTTCCCCCCGTAAAGTATGCCTTAGTAAGGGCATAAAAAGCCCATGAAATTACATTGAAAATTCGGAAGAGCTGTTGTAATAAACAATTTTCTACATGTACATGTATATTCAAAATCACTGTATTGTTTGTTCTCCTCAGGGTATGTCAGGACTCTGTTTATAGAGGCGATCCGGCGATGCTGTTTTGTTGTGCCCAACACTGCTGCTCAGTCTAAACCCCCGACTATGGCAGAGAAATACACGTTTCCAGAGAAAGATGTTCTGATTGCAAGGCACAGGAGCAGATTTAATAAACCTTGAGAGTAAATCCCTGCTTGGTGTAGAACTACAAGGAATGATCAGAGATAGGATCTTAAATGTTGATTCATTTAAAGCCTCAGCTCATGAATGATACATGTATTTGCCGAAAACAAGTGTTCATAATTTCAGTCCTCAAATAAGAAATACTTGCAAATTAGAGACCAATTGGTCTTCTGGCTCAGAAGAAATTTTCAAAGGAAGAGTTTTTTCTTATTGATTATGTTTTTGGCATCGATCTCACTGATTTAGATTTAGGACTTCTTGATTTATGAACTAATTGATGTATAATATGAAAACCCACACAAGATCTTATCTGTGTGTGCTTCAAAGTGAACTAGAGTGGACATGTTTCACAGGTAACTCGATGCTTGAGCTGATCAGTTCTTTCTTTCGATTGCTATTTATTTAGTTGCAATTTTACAGAAAAAGAAGACTGACTTCTTTTAACAAGTAGCAAGAAATGCATTTCAAGCCCTCAGTACACGAAGTACATGTATAAGCAAGGTGAATAGATACCAAATCCTTACCCTCACCCTTTTTAAAATGTCCTCCGTCACAAATGTTAAAGATCCATGACCCCCAAAATATATTGACTGTGACTAAGGCATTCATAGCCAGGCCAGATAAATGACTGACTTTCATTAGTCACAACCCTTACTGTCAGGAATGTGGCAAAGGGTATTGATTTAATTAACAAATCTTGCAATACAATTCTAGTATGGTAGACAACATGACTGGTTTTCAGATTTAGTAAGCCTATTATGTGTGTATATGTAGAGGGACCCAACTTCTTGTCTCTGCAATTGGTAAATGATAAGACTAATATTAAAATGAAATGACATGTATTTCTAGTTTACCGTGGTTTTAATAAATACACAGAAATAAGTCTACTATCAAGAAGAGATTTTAAAAAAAGTTGCATAGCTTTGCTGTGGGGAGTGAGCATTCCACTCGTACCTATGCTATTAAAATATCTTTTCTCAAATTAGGAATTACCAAAAACAGGAACAGCTGTAATGCTTTGCCCATTTATGCATCAACAAATCCTGTGTACTCTTCATCATTTGTGGGGAACATAGATCTTATCTTGTTGACAGCACATGCAGGAAGAACAACTCGTACTTCCCTCCCAAGATAGCCCCAGCACCATCTAGCAAGTTGTCTGTATGCAGTATGCCTATATTTTCTGAAAAAAAGTGACAACATTATATTGAAAGGATTTTGAGCAAAAAACGATAGGTTCCACAGCAGCACATTTAATACTTGCAAAAACATTGCACTTGTGATGGCGTAACTGCATGTACATGTAGTTGAAATATTGTGACGTAACTTTGTAACCCTAACAAAATCCAAATTGGGATGACACATGTACATGTACAGTGGTTGGCTTTCTGAGATTTTTCATATGTTATAATTTATGGTGTTTTTATTTCTCTCCTCTTTGCACAGGCACTTGCTAAATATTCATGAATGAGTGCCTGCCTGTATCAATGACGATGATAAATTAATTGACCTCAAAAGATCGCAAATGTGTTTATGGTGTAACTTACTGGTTTTCTGATCCTTGGTGAGCCTGTCCACCATACTGTTGCCTGTATTGATAATAGGCTGTATCCAATACCCATCGATCTAAACAAACAGTCCTAAATCCCGGATGCTCCGTAATACAGTCAAGGTCTAGAACAAAAGACTCCGTCATCCTCAAAACAGCATCGATCTCTTTACAGCATTTGCTCTCTCGCACGCTGGGCATCGGAGTACACTGCTCACATTCGCACCTGTAAATAAGGAGCATTTTGGTCATTAAATTTAGCTGAATAAAGACAAACCTTGTTTTACCTTGTCATCTTATGCCAAGGACTCTGTAGAAGAACTGAAGTCTGCAAGCAACGAAACTGGTCTCCAGTGTAGGCCCTGATAAATAAATCTATAAATCACCCTGTACTGTTGTGTTCAGCCATGCTACTATTGTTAGCATGGTTGAGTTTTTCCCACCTCGAAGCAAATGCACAGATTTCCTAACGTCAATATTGTCCATGCACATAATGCAAGGGAGGATAACATGTTCGTCATGGTCGTAAATATACTTACAAGAGTCACCTCTAATAAAGTTTACATTATTAAAATCATGCCATAACATTATCCAATTTAAAACGACAAGAAAACTATCGGTGTGATTTACATGTATTTGTCATGTTTGTATCGCAATAGACCCACCAATTGTTGTTACCAAGTCTGGCAACATGCTCCTCGTCATCCGTATCCGAATCGGATACAGAACCGCCGCCGTCGTCGCCTCTCTCAGGCTCATACATGTACGGCCGAACCCCTAACTCCTGTCTTTCATAGTCACTTTCACCAGAAATCTCACCACTTTCATCTGAAGAATCTGTCGCGGAAAGTTCTCCGTCTCCGGCGGTTGAATATGACGACGAGAAATTCGCCATGTCCACTTTATGACGAGCACAATAATGCACGGTACGCCCT